CGACAGGCGGGCCCAGCCCCCTGCGGCAGGGCGGCCGCTCGAGCGACCAGCAAACCCTCACTGACGGGCCCCACGTGGGGCCGCCCACAGCCGAGCAACTGGCTGGGAACGCTGAGAGCAGCATGGAGCCATGGCCTGGACAGGGCACCTCCCCGGGACAAACTCCCTCTGGGGCTCTGCGTTCACACCAGGACCCGGGGGTGAGGGTGTGAGGGGCCTGGGGGCCTCCCTCTCGGTCGTCTCTCCAGCTCAGCCCTCAGGAGCGCCTTGGCGCTGGGCCGGGGACCTGTCCCAGGACGGGGTGTTCCCGGGAGCTTTGTTCCATCTCTGGTACAGGCGGGCCCAGGGACTCTGCGCTGGCCTGTGTCAGTTGCTTCCTCCAACAGTTTTACTCTCCACTTTTGCTTCCTCTCTTTTCACCAATAACCCTCGATTTTGGGGTCCAAAGGACGGGCCCAGCGTGTCCTGTGGGTGAGGCCCGGCCCGTCAGACCGGAGCGCGTCACCTCAGCAGGCTGGTGCTAATCTCCGGGCAGTGGGGCCCACGGAAGGCAAGCGCCTGGCTCAGGGCCACACGGCGTGTCTGTGGGTGAGGAGGGACCTGAACCCATGATTCCCTGCTCATGGGGGGCTGCCCTTCCCCTCGAGGTGGGAGGGGGAGCTTCTGGGGCCCAAGCCTAGAACTGGAAGGGCCCCCACGGCAGGACCCAGCACCGTCTACACCAGGGCTACTCCAAACGCGGCCCATGGCCCTTTTGTTTGTGGCCCGCGGTGCAGTTTGGGTTTACGTGGGACCCAGCACGCGGCCGGCGGGCGGGATCCTTTGAACATGGCTTCCATGGGGAACACACTCCCCAACGGCGAGGCACTGAAAGATGCAAGTGGACAGGCACAGGGTGTCGGCGTTTCTAGCCCGGGGGATGAGGTGCTAGGAGCGCTGGGGCATTGTGTATTCATGCCCATCAGTGTGAAAAAATCTATTTGCATATATTTGCATATGTATTTGCATGAATACACAATTACACTTAAGTTGCAGCCCTCGGCATGTGCTGTGAGCATCATTGTGGCCCCTGGGACTTCCAAAGTTGAGTCGCCCTGATCTAGGTCATCCCTGACAGGTGTCTGTCTAACCTGCTCTCCAGAGATGGAGACTCCACAACCTCCCTAGGCAATTTATCTCAGTGTGTAACCACCCGACAGACAGGAAGGTTTTCCTAATGTCCAACCTAAACCTCCCTTGCTGCAGTATAAACCCATTGCTGCTTGTCCTGTCCTCAGAGGCCAAGGAGAACAAGTTTTCTCCCTCCTCCTTGTGACACCCTTTTAGATACTTGAAAACTGCTCTCATGTCCCCTCTCTGTCTTCTCCTTTCCAAAGTAAACAAGCCCAGTTCTTTCAGCCTTCCCTCATAGCTCACGTTCTCTAGACCTTTCATCATTTTTGTTTCTCTTCTCTGGACCCTCTCCAATTTCTCCACATCTTCCCTGAAATGTGGTGCCCAGAACTGGACACAAGACGCCAGCTGAGGCCTGATCAATAGGAAGAATGTAGAGCGGAAGAACGACTTCTTGTGTCTTGCTCCTAACACTCCTGCTAATACATCCCAGACGGATGTTTGCTTTCGTCGCACTGTTGACTCATACTTAGCTTGTGGTCCTCTATGACCCCTAGATCCCCTTCTGAAGGACTCCTTCCTAGTCGGTCGCTTCCCATTCTGTGTGTGTGAAACCGATTGTTCCTTCCTACGTGGAGCACTTTGCATTTGTCCTTATTAAACTTCATCCTATTTACCTCAGGCCATTTCTCCAGTTTGTCCAGATCATTTCGAATTATGACCCAGTCCTCCAAAGCAGTCGCAGCCCCTCCCAGCTTGGTACCATCTGCAAACTTAATAAGCATCCTCTCTATGCTGCTTCTAAATCATGGATGAAGATACTGAACAGAACTGGTCCCAAAACAGACCCCCATGGAACCCCACTTGTTCTGCCCTTCCAGAGGACTGGAACCATTGGTAACTACTCTCTGGGAACAGTTATCCAGCCAGGTCTGCACACACACCCCTTACAGTGGTCCTGTTCCGGAGGGGCCCTGTAGGGACAGCAAGGTTCCCCCAGCTTGCCTTAGGCATGGGGCCCGGGTTTGGCAGCAAGGGCAGGACCGGGGGGAAAGTGGGGAGGACGGTTTCCAGCCCTTTCCCTCAGGTACAGGATCAGGCCCCCGGCCCTGGAGTTTCTTCTGGTCTTTGCTTAGCTTCTGGGGGCCTTTCGGCCCACAGCAGCCCAGGAAGAAATCGTTAGCATGGCTGATGTAACGGGCCCTCCTGGGGCTTCCCGCAACACCTCCCCACCATGAAAATCCAGCTTCCGCCTCGGTCCCCCCGCAGGCTGCCAGCTCGGCCTCCGCTTTCATGCCACACCCAGCAGGGCGTGAACCCAGCTGTTTCCAGGAAAGTTTAAAAGCTGCTGCAGATTCCTCCCGTGGCACCCAAGGGCCGTGGCGAGAGGGAACCCACCTCCGGCAGCGCTGTCCCAAGGCGAACGCCCGCGCCCCTCAGCAGAGGCCAGGCCTGGCTAGAACAGGGTGGGCTGGCAAGGCCTTTCCCAGACAGTGAGGGCCTTAAGAAAATGCCCAGGCCCTGCAGGAATGAGCCCCCCGGCCACGCGGCCAGAGCTGACCAGTCACGGCGGG